TTTTGTATCAAAAAATCTTTGTATAATAAATATATAGAAGAATTTGGTCTTAAAACGTTTCTTTAAATAAAGCTTTTATCTAAAAAGTTTTCTATATAAAAAACTTTTATCTCAAAACTTTTCTATTTATAAAGCTTTTCCTTCAAAGCTTGCCTATGTTGAAAGCTTTGAAAGCTTTTTATATTAACAAAGCTTTTGCTTCCAAGCTAGTGTATATTGAAAGCTTTGAAATCGATTTCTATATAAAAAGCTTTTGTCTCAAAACTTTTGTTTATCAAACAAATCTTTGTCACAAAACTATATAGAGAAATTTTGTCTTAAAACAAAAAACGAAAAGAAATCTTTTATCTGGAAACATTTCTCTATAGAAAACGTTCATCTCTAAGCTCTTCTATTTATAAAGCTTTCCTATATAGAAAAGTTTTATCTCAAAACGTTTCTATTTATAAAGCTTTTGCTTCAAAGCTTGTCTATATTGAAAGCTATTTTTATTTATAAAGCTTTTGTTTCCAAGCTAGTCTATATTTCTATATAAAAGCTTTTTTCATTTCTATTTATAAAGCTTTTGCTTGAAAACTTGTCTATATTGAAAGCTTTGGATTAAAACGTTTCTAAATATGATAAGATTTCTAGATACATAAAAAGCTTTAGTAACAAAACCTCCCAATATAAAAAGCTTTAGTGTCAAAATGTTTCTATATAAAAAGCTTTTGTATTTAAACATTTCTAAATAGAAAGCTTAATACTTTTCTGTATTAAAGCTTTTAACTCTATATGAAAAGCTTTAACTTTAAAGAAGGTTAAAGCTGATTATTATATTTTATTTAAAAGCTTTTAACCTTTTGGGGGAACTTTTTTCTTATATTTATAATTTGGAATTAAATTATTTCTTAAAAAAAAATATCTTTAAATCTTTACTACAACTACAAAAACAGTTAAACAAATATATGTTGGTTAAAAAAACCCACTTCATTAACATTTATATATTGATCATTATTATCTATTCTCTTTTAACCAAAAGCCATTAAAACTTCATTAAAATAACACACACACACACACATAAAAATTTGCATAACTACGTCACGATGATTATTTTTAACAACATAAATCCACATTATTAGTGAATACATAATAAAACATGAAATTATAAATAATTTTAATAGTTTTTTTTTATTTCTTCCAAAACTATTACTCACTTTTAACATTATTGTATACATACATAATTTTTTTAAAATTCATTCATTCATAGTTTTCAGCATAAAGAAAACGTGTTTGTATTACCAAATTTTAACTTAAAATCAAGACAATGCAGTATTAAGAAGGGGGGGAGGGGGATACCAAAACAAACAAAAAACATTTGTATCTATAAATGTTTGTTTAATATACAAACATACTGATTTAAGCCGTTAACATTTTAACCGCTTAGTTCCCCACTTATGTTCAGTATGCGAGTATGTATGTTTGTTGTTTGATTTGAACAATTCTAATAATTTATTTCAGTTGTCGTCTAACGCGGCCAAAAGAATAACTCAATAAATCTTATGCAAATTGCCCACCAACACTTTCAATTATGATCAACAAATATTTATTTTTATTTGATTTTATTTGTTAATAAGGAAATGTTAACCATTTGCAGAATGTTATGTATTATAACAATACCCTACATTTGGCAGATTTGCATTTAAAAAGTCTTTAAACGACATTGAAAATACATACATATTTGAGTATAAATAGTTTGAGTTGGGGGTTCAGGGTTTAAGTCGTATCCAAGTTAAATTTGAGTTAAAATAACAAATTTTATAAAATCTACATAAATTAAAGAATTTTTGAAATAATATATTTGATAAATTTTTTTAACACTTCTGAATCATTTCAAAATTTCTTATATGAGAAAGAATATGAAGTGCTATGTTCTTAAGTTGCACAGTGAGATCGTTTACAAAGCTTACACGTTCCCACGACAATTGCATCTTCTTGCCATAACGACCCGAGTCTTAATCGGTCAAAGATTATAAACTCAGCGACAGCTGTATCAACCGAAAGTTTTTTCTTCAGAAAAGAACTATCTGCCAGAGTCGAACTGCTACAACAACAACAAAGCTTACATATTTCTGATGAGTTTAACACTTTATGAGAATCTGTCACTTTAAGATTTCAAGGTTTTAGTAGAAGATATACATATTTTGGTACTCCGACTTTGATTCAGATTTTGGCAAATAATATTCAGTCTACTCTATATTTACATTTTTCTGTAAAACCCGGAAATTATCAACTGACTCCCCCAGTTAATACGCCCGGTTGACTAGAGATACTTGAGAACCAAAACTGTTGCCGATTAAGCAGGATCCTACAGAATATATGTTGAGAATAAGTTGATATCTCAAGGACAAGAGTGTGCAGATTGGTGTGAATGTGTAGGATTGCCTGGGCATTACTCTATTCATACTGGACCTACCGCTGTATATCCCCTGTGTGTAAGGAAGCAATGTCTTGGCTTATTATTAATGATCGGGGGACTATATATTGCGAATGAGTTGAGTTGATATCACAAGGGCAATGGTATGCAGATTGGTGTGAATATGTAGAATAGAAGGACTTCTTTGTCCGGGCATTACTCTATTCATACTTGACCTACCGCTATATATCCCCTGTGTGTAAGGAGACAATGTATTGGCTTATTAATAATGATCGAACTGGATCCCACACAGGAGTGACTGCGGGTACTATATGTTGCGAATAAGTTGAGTTGATATCACAAGGGCAATGGTATGCAGATTGGTGTGAATATGTACGATAAAAGGTCTTCTTTGCCCAGGCATTACTCTATTCTTACTTGACCTACCGCTGTATATCTTCTGTGCGTAAGGAAGCAATATCTTGGCTTATTAATAGAGATCGTACTTCAGTCTACTAAATGCATCTCTAGGTGCTATTGTCGATTCAAAAGATCCATCTTAGCAATGTGGTTGTATAAATGTTGTCAACTTGAGTAAAGTACTTATACATGTTCCGGTTTCCAACATGTACGGTCATCTGCGTGTCGCAAAGAGGCGATGAAAAGAAGGCTTTAGCTCGCCCTGTGTTATCGAAAAAGGAACACTAACGATCAGAGCTTAGACAGCTTGAGTACTTGAGCAAAGTTCTTATACATGGTCCAGTTTCCAATATGTACATAAATAGCGTTTCACAAAGAGGCGGTGCAAAGTAGTCTTTAGCCCACCCTATGTTTGAACACAGACACTGTGAGATAAGTTCGACATTCGAACATTCGAACTTCTGCCGTCCCATTGTTAAACCTTCGCATTTTATATTCTGTTCTACTGTTGTTTGATCTGTTGTTATTGTCAAGGAACCTGTCGAAGATCACCCGATATTAATGACAAATTACTTCTAGTTGGTGGTCAAATCCGAAACGTTTTTTTATCTAGTTCTATAACGACCTAATTATCTTGTCATGCGATCAGAAACTTAAATACTTGAGAAAAGTGCACGGCCCATACCCAAAATGGACATCTATTCATTCTTTCCAAGACACAAAGAGGCAGTGGTAAGTCAACACTAGCCCACTCACCCTGTTGTTTAATAAAGACCACCCTGAGAGAAGGTCGACAAGACAAGTGTTCACGTAAATAACTGGAGGAACTTTACTTAGTTAGATATGTATCTCTAGGAACCTATTTCCTTGCCATTGAAAGTTTAAGAACCAAGAATTGAAGGTATTATTCCATGAAGATTGTTATCAAGTCCAACAAGAGTTTGGAAGCTACTTAAGCAACAATTTCAAAACGTTTTACGAGCAACAAGATTCATCCATAGACAGACCTAAGACTTTGAATGACCTTGGGAGATGATTTCTTCTTCTTATTTTCTTAATCTTTTATTGAACCGAAAAATTTACTCGCGGTAAAAAACTGGATCCATTACCATAACGCAAAACATAAGAACTCTTATGTCAAGCCCGATCAACCAGTCGAATCTACAAGAAAGTCAAATATACATGACGATAAGGTAATGCTCTGTATTTTGTGGGACCAAAAGGGTCCTATTTGACCCTGAGCTGCTAAAATCTGGACAGACCATTACAGGGAATGGAACTGATTTATATGAAGCAAACATTGGGCCAAAAAACGTCAGAAATATGCGGCCAGACTTAAAAGCTTAATATTACTTAATGACAACGCTTGGTTACATGTCCGTCCGACTACTATATATTCCTATCAATGGAGAACACACTCTCTGGGATACGCTTCACTTCTGAACAGGTTACCTGAAATTGTTTTAAGTCATTCCTGGTCTCAAAAGATGAGAAATTCCTTTGGCGCGAAGTCCATATGTTGTCAAATAGATGAAGAAACTAGTCTCAACGAAAACTTGGTAATGACATATACATGCACAACAACATACAGTCTGCATTACTTTTAAGTACTTAAATAATGAATTACAAATAATCATAGACGTATGTATGTAAGTGCTTATATTGAGTTTTGATCGCACACAAGCAATTGTTCAGAGAGCGAATCTATTGATCTGATATTTGGAAAGTATTCGTCGGTGTGGAGAAAGAAGAAAGTTAGTAGCTTATCTAGAGTCTTCAAGAGCCGATCTAAAGACTATAAAATATCAATCTTAAAAGATCTGTGGAACATTTTATGGTTTACAGTAGGACAATCTGAATCATCCCGATGAGTCATCGTTTATGTTTTCTAAACCAGAATTTTAAAAATAGCAATTACCTTTAACAAGTTTTGAAAAAAGCTTGGCTTACAACGAACATAAATCAAAATGGCCTTAAAGAACTTTAAAAACAAAAGAGTTCCGGTTAATAGAAAAAAACACATTCTTCACAACATGTATTTTATGTTGTCAATTTTATATTAATAATTTTTAGAAATTTTAAATTTACACATTTAACTATGTAGTATAGACACACGAAAAGGTCATTGTTCTTTTCTAGCTTAAAAAACACTTTAACTCTTAATAAAAACCTTAAAGTTTCTTACCTTTTTTTTTTGGTGTTAAATCCAAGATTTTTTGGTGGTTTTTTATAATTATTACTTTTTTAAGTTTTTTTTATAATTTTTTATAATTTCAGCAATCAAGGTTTTAGCCAAAAAAAAATTTCATCAAAATTAAATTGATGAATCTGGTTTAAAACCGCTTTTGTTTCTTAAACAAATGTTGTTTTTTTTAACAATATCTTTTCTTAAAAATTTAAAAATTTTTTGCTTAAACTTATTAAACACTTTTTTTAACTTAAACTTGTTTTAATTTTAAATTAATACAAAATTTATAAACATTTTTTTTTATTAATTTCTTAAATAATTTCCTTTCAATTTATCTTAAATTTTCTTAAATTTATATAAAATATTTTTCCGTTACAGCTTTCAGTTTTTTAATATTTAAATATCATTAAAAACTTCCGTTTCATTCTCTTCCGTTTTTTATTTTATTTCTTTTAAAGTTTTACACGTTTATATTTTTTACCGTTTTTTTAACATCACGTCTACAAGTTCAAATCGTAACTGAGCTTCGTTTAGTTGGTACCTTCTATTATTATAGTCCCCATTTTAACTTTTTTTCCTATACATGTTATTTCAAATGTTTATGTATTGAACCGAACCCCCTTCTATAGCTGTTTTATTGTTATGGTATGTGTTTGTTTTTGTTCTTTATTGTTTTGGTTGGGGACTCTTAATACTGATCGTTATAAATACGTATTTGTAAGTTCGCGTATAGGTACTTATGTATGTGTGTGTTTTTACGAGTCAATGGCGAGATTCATCTTTTATTTACGCGCTCAATCTTGTTCTTTTTAGCTGGCTCGTAGTAACTTATGCTTGTCGATGACTGTTATGTTTACGCGGTTTTTTTTTATGAAAATATTATACCATATTTTGTCTAAATAAAATTTATTATAATTTGTTTTCTTAATTGCCTTTCTTTTAAATTTGTTTACGTGTTAGGATTTATGACAGTTTGATAAATTAATTATAATGCTTCAATTTGGTATCCCAAAGGTAATTTTATTCAAAAACATAAAAATTCACTATATTTCTTGACTATGACTATAGACTGATCTATAGTCAACAGCAGAGACTGATCTATAGTGACGACAATAGACTGGTCTATAGTCAAGGTTATATACTGGTTTACAGCCTAGACTACAGACTGGTCTAAAGTCACGACTGTAGACTTGTGATTGGTCTATAATCCAGACTATCCACTTCAGAATATAAACTAATACAGACTATATACTATTCTATAATCCAGACTGTAGACCAATCTGTAGTATAGAGTACAGACTGGTTGGTATCTAGTCCAGATTACAGACTAGTCTATAGTCAAGACCATATATTGGTTTATAGTCAAGACTATATACGGTATATAGTCAAGACTATATACTGGTCTAAAGTCACGAGTGTATACTTGTGTATGGTCAAGACAATAGGCAGATCCATGGTTCCGGACTACAGATTGCTGCATAGTCAAGACTATATTCTGATCCATAGTCAAGACTGGTCTATAGTTACGACACCAGACTTATTTATAGTCAAAACTGTAGACTGATCCATAGTCAAGACTAACTAACTAGTTGTTAGTTAGTTCGTTAGTTAGTGTTATTTAGTTAGTTAGTTAGTTAGTAGTTAGTTAGTAGTTAGTTAGTTAGTTAGTTAGTTAGTTAGTTAGTTAGTTAGTAGGTAGTTAGTTAGTAGTTAGTTAGTTAGTAGTTAGTTAGTTAGTTAGTTAGTTAGTTAGTTAGTAGTTAGTTAGTTAGTTAGTTAGTAGTAGTAGTTAGTAGTTAGTGTTAGTTAGTCAGTTAGTTAGTAGTTAGTTATTTAGTTAGTTAGTAGTTAGTATAGTTAGTTCGTTAGTAGTTAGTTAGTTAGTTAGTTAGTAGTTAGTAGTTAGTTAGTTAGTTAGTAGTTAGTTAGTTAGTTAGTAGTTAGTTAGTTAGTTAGTTAGTTAGTTAGTTAGTTAGTGTTAGTTAGTTAGTTAGTTAGTTAGTTAGTTAGTTAGTTAGTTAGTTAGTTAGTTAGTTAGTTAGTTAGTTAGTTAGTTAGTAGTTAGTTAGTTAGTTAGTTAGTTAGTTAGTTAGTAGTTAGTGTTAGTTAGTTAGTTAGTTAGTAGTAGTTAGTTAGTTAGTTAGTTAGTAGTTAGTTAGTAGTTAGTTAGTTAGTTAGTTAGTTAGTTAGTTAGTAGTTAGTTAGGTAGTTAGTTAGTAGTAGTTAGTTAGTTAGTTAGTTAGTTAGTTAGTAGTTAGTTATAGTTAGTTAGTTAGTTATTTAGTTAGTTAGTTAGTCAGTTAGTTAGAGTAGTTAGTTAGTTAGTTAGTTAGTAGTTAGTTAGTTAGTCAGTTAGTTAGTAGTTAGTTAGTTAGTTAGTTAGTTAGATGTTAGTTAGTTAGTTAGTTAGTTAGTAGTTAGTTAGTTAGTTAGTTAGTTAGTTAGTTAGTTAGTTAGTTAGTTAGTTAGTTAGTTAGTTAGTTAGTTAGTTAGTTAGTTAGTTAGTTAGTAGTTAGTTAGTTAGTTAGTTAGTTAGTTAGTTAGTTAGTTAGTTAGGTAGTTAGTTAGTTAGTAGTTAGTTAGTTAGTTAGTTAGTTAGTTAGTAGTTAGTAGTAGTTAGTTAGTTAGTTAGTTAGTTAGTAGTTAGTTAGTTAGTTAGTAGTAGTTAGTTAGTTAGTTAGTTAGTTAGTTAGTTAGTTAGTTAGTTAGTTAGTAGGTAGTAGTTAGTTAGTTAGTTAGTTAGTTAGTTAGGTAGTTAGTTAGTTAGTAGTTAGTTAGTTAGTTAGTTAGTTAGTTAGTTAGTTAGTTAGTAGTGTTAGTTAGTTAGTTAGTTAGTTAGTTAGTTAGTTAGTTAGTTAGTTAGTTAGTTAGTTAGAGTTAGTAGTTAGTTAGTTAGTTAGTTAGTAGTTAGTTAGTGTTAGTTAGTTAGTTAGTTAGTTAGTTAGTTAGTTAGTTAGTAGTTAGTTAGTAGTTAGTTAGTTAGTGTTAGTTAGTTAGTTAGTTAGTTAGTTAGTTAGTAGTTAGTTAGTTAGTTAGTTAGTTAGTTAGTTAGTTAGTAGTTAGTAGTTAGTTAGTTAGTTAGTTAGTAGTAGTTAGTTAGTTAGTTAGTTAGTTAGTTAGTTAGTTAGTTAGTAGTTAGTTAGTTAGTTAGTTAGTTAGTTAGTTAGTTAGTTAGTAGTTAGTTAGTTAGTTAGTTAGTTAGTTAGTTAGTTAGTAGTTAGTTAGTTAGTAGTTAGTAGTTAGTTAGTTAGTAGAGTTAGTTAGTTAGTTAGTTAGTTAGTTAGTTAGTTAGTTAGTTAGTTAGTTAGTTAGTTAGTAGTTAGTAGTGTTAGTTAGTTAGTAGTTAGTTAGTATTGTAGTTAGTTAGTAGTTAGTTAAGTTAGTTAGTTAGTTAGTTAGGTAGTTAGTTAGTTTAGTAGTTAGTTAGTTAGTAGTTAGTTTTTTTTACAGGCAATACTACATACTATTCTATACCCACTATAGACTAACTACAATTAAAAACAGTCAAAATCTGGACTATAATCAGTGCTATTGATTGTTCTATAGGCATTACTATACACGGGTCCATAGCCAAGTTCATAATATGGTGTTTACAGTCTACCGACCGGTTTATAGTCAACATTATACTACTTCATAGTCAACTCTATACACTTCTTTCCTTATACTATTCATTCATCGTTCGTAAATATTGAATCCAGATTACGTTTGTTACCATCCACCAATTTGTTTAAAAGTTAGAAATCATACAAATTAA